CGAAATCTGTGATTATCCCGCGTGGGAGATTAGATTTAGATTTAGATTTTTTTTGTTCTTTTGCTTAATTGCTGTATGAGGTAATGCCTTAGAGCTTTCGTTCCCAAGCATCTGAAGCCTATTGCGAAAAATTCGAATATCGAACCAACATGTGCATTTAACAACGAAAAAGAGATTTAAAAATAATTACGAAAAGAGGCTAAAAAACATAAATATTAATTCCGCACTTTCCAGAAGTTAATAGAAAAACAAGAAACAACATAGGCAACAAATCATGGAGAATATTGCATATGGCCAGGGTGAAACGCCATATGTCCGCCGAAAGAAAAAACAGAGCAAGTCTGAAGTGTGATGTAAAGCAAAGAGAAATACTTATCTTAAACGATGCGAAGAGTTAAAAACCCATCGATTAGGCTGAGCAGTTGCTGAAGATCCAAATTGAAAGGAAAAAGCGGTGGAAGTGGAAGAAGGCTAGACCTTTCGATCGACGGGGCGTAAACGGCGACGCCTGCCTTGGATTTCTTTTCTGCTCTTCTATCTGTCCTATACATCAGTCTTCCTGTCGTCCTCAAAACTCGACGCAAGCTCGCCGGAAAGGTATCCATTCACAGTAGACCAGCTAAAGTCACTTTATCGGCCATTTAAAAACCTTTATACGCGCAGAAACCAACCATCACCTGCTCCCAGGACCGACTTAACTTGGCGGTAGAATTTGGACTTTAACGCGTCAATTCCTTAAAGTTGCCAAACACTAATGCAGGGCGTGATCCCGAGCTTCTGCTGATTCCCTTCTCTTTCACAACAGTTAACAGTGTTAACGGCTTGCTCGACTGTCGCGTTATTTTCGCAATTTCCTCCGAAAATCGCTTTGTAAAGCCACTTAGGCGATCTTTGATAACCTGCGTAAGGTTATCCGCTAGAGAACCGATAAACTCCTTAACAGAATTAAGCCCTAATAGCCTCATAAATGGAACGCAACGACTGTTGCATCGCTAACGTTAACGGACGGAACTGAAGATCCTTGCTTTTTGCTCATTAAGTGAGCGATGAAATCAGACTGTGGGTTGTTAGAAGGCGTTCACAGACCCGACGGACGAATACGAATGAACAAGACACTTATATAACTGTATGCAAAGTACTTAACACTAAAAATACCGAAACACAAACAGACAAGATAACACACGTAATTAACCATATAAGAAGGTGCAGAAAACAAATATCTGCTAAACTGCTTACCGCAGATATTTTTGCATTCATTGCGTTTGTTTTAAACTTCCTGCAAGCGATAGAGCTCTTTACTAACTTCATAAAAGATTCCACTGCATTAAACCATAGTTTATTTTTAACAAGGAGTGAATCATGTTTATACGACCAGGTGATCGAAAGACAGTGTTCTCTAACATCGCAAATGTTAAATGTACAGAGTTTTATAACCTGCGGATTACAGTGGCAGTGAATAAAACTCCCGGCCTTTCAATCATATACCGTAATGATTCGATTTAGTGTCCGGAACGCTTATTAACTTTTGGTACCTCAAGGGAGGGCGATTATTCGAGACAGGGCGCTTATTCGGGACAGGGCACTTTTTTTTTTTTGAGAAATAACCAAACGTTCAAAACAAAACTTTAATATTTATTTTAAAAGGGGCAATAACAGAAACTGTAACAGTAACAAATACATACGGTGAACGTTCAGTTAACTGGAGAAACTTAGACGAAGACCACTGTTTTTGTAATGTGGTATTATTTCGTTTTGTTTGTCCACCAGCATTTGATCATTTCAGCATTGTTATTTGTGTCTCCCGAGATTGCATGAAAACCACACCTATAGCGAGAACGTCACAAAAGCAAAAGGTTTGATTAGCGAAACAACAACTTTGCACCCACGTGCATCACGCTTTTTTGTACATTTCTTTGCGGTCACTGCACGACTACGGCGTGAAAATCCCTAATTTCTTTCTCTTTCAAAACTCGAGTGTGGTCCCCAAGAAATTAACTCCAGGGAAATTCTCCTACATTTAACATTTTCAGGTAATTGGAATGAGCGCGACAAAGTTTGAAAAAGCGCGAATTCGTTTTAAAAGTGACATTTTTGCTGCCGTCGCCGTCGTAAATGCTAAAGCTCCCAAATATTAGAATAGGGGCGCCTATTGGAATGGGGGCTATTAACAAAAACACCTTCGAAGGGGGGAGGGGGCGCGCTTATTGGAAGGAAAGCGGTAAATCGAATCGTTACGGTAAGGTCAACAGCAAGCCTTTAAGACTACATATCGAATAAACGCCAAGTTCAATAGTATGCAATCTGTCAGATTAAAAATAAAATTACTTTAATTCTTTTGTACCATTCATTCATAAATTCAGGAACCAGTTGGTTCATGACTAAGGGAAGAGGTATTTACGAGCCAATTTTTCGATGAACATTATCAAGAAACGATCAAGTGATATTCTTTCTTAGTTAAAGCGCTTAGAGAATCGCCTCACTACCGAAACGCATAAACGCTAAAACATCTGAAACACTACCGACAATTTTGTCCAAACACTAAGTGTTTCTGGTCTTGTCGAAGATACAAGCAAACTGTCTGCAAGTTTGAGCTTAGATGCTTTACAGTAAACAAATTACGAATTGAGTACAGTCAATCCGGAGCTTTTGTGTTAAACTTTTTTCTTGCTCTTAATTTTTGCATTTGTTTTGATTTCATAGACTTTATCTTTCTTTGCTTTTACTATAACCTCCACCGAACAGTTGCTATAATGCAATGTGTAGAAGTCAAGCATTTTACGTTGTTTGTGGATGTATATATACTGTATTCAACTGTATCGGCTAGGTATTCGTTAGATGACTGTGGTTTAAGGCTTAGATGCCGTACTTATATATTTGAACAGAATTGTCTATACCGATTTACGTGGTCAGTGTTTATGGTAACTAACGAAAAATTCCGAAAATAAGCCCCGGGGCTGATATTTTTAAAGGCCCTTTTTGAGGGGCTTAACTCAACTCCCCGTTAAGGGTCGACACTTCTTAATTAAGGACGGACATCCAGTGTTGGTCTCTGCCGTTTTTCAGTCATTTCATTATACTCCCTATAAGACGGACACCTCTACGACGGACAATGTACACTTTTGAAACCTTCAACGTACATGCAGTTACGGAAATGTAGGTGCTCTACATGATAGTAAATCGCAATTTAGGGGAAGCAAATTACAAAACCAAATACATTGCATTGTAATTTCTTAACATTTCCTTTATTAATAACAGAGACTTGTAATCATTGCATCCAACTTATCTCACACTTTTGTGACAATTGTTCTCACTGCGTCTGCCCTACAAATCAAAGAAACGATCATGTTATCTGTCGGTCATTGGTCAGGGGATATATAATACGTGTGGATCAGTAGCAACAGTTCCATTTTGGGCTCCTGCCTGCATTGGAGGTTCCAAAATAAAAGTTAAAAGAACAAGGGGGCGGGGGGTACTTGACCAATATTTGGGAGAAGATGAACCGCTGAGGGTTTGAAACCCTAACCTTGTTTAGGACAAAAAACCCTAAAGTGCATATCCTGTTTAGGACAACACCCTCAATTTTAATATACTATATAAGGCAATGAAATTCTGCGTCGCTCTCATGTGGCTACATTCGACTGAAAAAATTGAAAAGAAAATAAGAAAAAAAACCTAAATACAGCAACGTGACAGGTACTTAGTTACTGTAATTACTCGAAAGAGCGCCTCCCTCAAATTAATACCCCACCTTCCAGGCAACAATGCAGCGCTTTAAGTAAGTAAGTAACTATCCATCTAAGTATCTTACTAAATAACTAATTACCTAACTAACAAGCTATTTTTTTCTGAGTTTATTTTTTCCTGCAGGATAAAACATCGGTACCTGAAGTTTTCAGTAGCTGTTCATTCATCCCTCGCACATATTTTGAGACAAGTTTAGTGATGATCAGTTACTATGGTTACGAGCTATAACGTCATAAGTAGCAGGTGGTCAACCCACTTTTGGCTGAAAATACATGTTTTTCAAGTTCTTTCAATTAAAAGTAAATCTTGTGGTTAAAATCATGCAAAGTGCTTATTTATGTGCTATTCTTCATGTAAAGCATATATGTTAAAGTACATATCCTGTTTAGGACAACACCCTCAATTGTAATATACTGTATAAGTCAAACAACAAAATGAACGCCGTCCTGTTTTTTAAAAAGCAAGTGGAAATGAGAAAACTGACGTTATAGTCATTGCTTGTAAAGACCTGGAGCACAAATAAATTTCATCAAACAAATCAACTAAATCGTGCAGGCAATATCCTGTTTACCATTAGGGCAGACTTGCCGGACTCGCACGAGATTATATACCCTGTTAAGGATCGCTGGACAGAAAGGACAAAAAACATACCCTGTCCATCAGCACATCCCCGTATAGGGCACAGAGGGGAGTACCCCCTCCCCCACCGGGGTGGAAGAAAAGGGGGAATTTCATTCCGTGAAAAAGCATGTAGCGTGGAGAGGGGCAGCAACAGAAATCCTTTTCTATTCTTGCGTGTTTCCCGTGTTTTACCCGCGCCCGCCAACCACTCAGTCCCTTTCCCTTTTCCAAATGCAAGCCGCGCAACCTACTAATGACATCGAACTGCTTTTGAAAGGTTTGAAATCAAGAGTCATTTCATAAGTAGGTAGAATATGATCGTCCGGGTGAGTGAAGTCCTGAACAGGACTGTTGAGGACATTGACGACTGACGTTTCGAAAACCTTTGGGGTAGTCATCTTCAGGGTCAAAGTGAGTTGTATAAAGTCAGTTGATGGTGTTAAACTCCGTTTTTTTTTACCTGATAAGTTAATGAAGTCGCGATGTTACTGGTCGCCTGTCAGTTAAGCCACATGAGGTTATTAGCTATGAAGACATTATTAAATGTCATTAGTGCGTCTCGAGCTGTTTCGATCCGTCTATTGTCACAGTAAAGCAGCCATTTAGTGCCACTGTCGTGCTATGAAGAGCTCAAATTATTTTTTTGGGGGAAAAAACTTACCGCAGAATGGATCCTTCTCGTCTGTACTTAGGTAGAACTTTCCTTCGCCTTTAGGGCTGTCAGCTTCGAAACCCATGCTAGGACATGTACCATTACACGCCGACGCTGAACATTTCTTTTGCTTGAAGGACTGGTAGTCATCGCATGGAATTGCGGTCCATGAACACGATCCCTTCACGGAGGCAATGAAATACTGCGTCGCTCTTATGTGGCTACATACGACTGAAAGAATTGAAAAGAAAATAAGAAAAAAACTGTGATTACTCGAAAGAGCACCTCCCTCAAATAAAAACCCCACCTTCCCAGCAACAATGCGGCGCTTTTTTTTTTATTTTCACTGTTTTTGCCACTTTTATGTTTTGAGAACGTAAGTAAGTAAGTAAGTAACTATCCATCTAAGTATCTTACTAACTAACTAACTAACAAGCTAATTGACTTGTCTATTAACCCTCGGACGTCTAAGGGGGGGAGGGCACAAGGTTTTTCTGAGTTTTTCCTAGAGGATAAAACATCAGTAGTTGACGTTTTTAGTAGCTGTTTATTTATCCCTCGCACACATTTTGAGACAAGTTTAGTGATGGTCAGTTGCTATGGTTACGAGCTGTGACGTCATAAGTAGCAGGCGTTCAAGCCAATTTTGGGTGAAAATACATGTTGTTTCCACTTCTTTCAACAATAAAAGTAAACCTTGTGGCTAAAATCATACAAAGTGCTTATTTATGTGTTATTTTTCATGTAAAGCACAAAAAATTACCATTTCTCGCGGTTTTAACCTGATTTCTACTTCTTGGTAAAATCCAAGATGGCGGCCAACCATTGTTGATGACGTCACAGGCCTCCGGCAGCGCCACCACCCCTAAAATATACCTCATCTTGTTAAGAAGATCAAAGGCTTTCCACAAAAGGTAAAATCGTTTTACAATACTGCAACATGTCAAAATCTCCTGGGAGGGGTTCCATACCCCCCCTCCCCCCCTTTGTACCACCGTGGGGGTATGAATTTGCGTGTACATCCGACTAACGAAACTGACTAACGAAATAACTAAGTAACTAGCTAGCTAATTAAAATCCTATATAGGAACTGAATTTTACAAGGCTGAACAATAAGAAAAAACACTAGTACCTAGAATTTTAAAAAGACACGTTTTTTGCATTATCGTCAAAATAAGTTAGTTTTTTTTTAATTGCGATGAAGCCTGAAAATATTCAGTATGGAGTCCGTTGTACTTGATGAAGGATTCGAACCTTTAATTTCATGAATTGATCTGAATTTTTTCAGGCTCTCTTTACGCAACTACTACAGTTGCGTCTATAAATGCGATGATCATCTGAAATTTGAAATAAGTAGGAAAGTAAATTCTGAAGATCGAATGCAAAATATGTATGCTTGGCCTAAATTCACTTCATAAACAATAAAGATGGGTGTATTGTTGTCTTTTTTAAGAAAAAGTTTACATGACTTAGTTGAGGTTTCTTTCGCGGTTCACATCTTTCTTAAGAAGCTTTAGGAAGAGCAAAGGATAAAATAAAATTTTAAAAAATTTTCTAAGGAAATGAAGAACAGTAGTGATATTTCCAAAATGAAAGATTTATGTGACAGCCACCCCCAAGAAGCCGAGAAGCCAAAAAAATTCAATAAGCGCCCTCGCGGTGCTTTTTCGTGTATAAAGGACGATTTAAGGGGGAAAACCGGCAAAATCAAAGAAACATAGATTTCACATAAGATTTTAATTAATCTATTATACAGCATATGCTATTTGCGAGTTCAATAACCCCTCGCTATCCACGAAAATGCAAGAGCAAAACCTTTCTTGTGATATAAATGAGATTTATTTGCATGACAAGAAAGTGCCATTTTCAGTGTCGCTTTAAAATAAAAGCTTAAATTGGAGCACCTCGAAGACAACTCATGTAAAATTTTGAAAATTCCCTTTTTTAACCTACCATTGACTAGACATCCGGGCTGATGTTTGCCACCATTTGGATAAAAGTCGATGTCTCCAACCCTCTGGTTTGTTCCCAAAACTCCTGCATTGGTGTGAATCACGTCGACATAGCTGGCGTCACTTTCATCAAGTCGAAAGTCTTTTTCCTCGTTTGTAAACTTAGGACCGGCAGGATCCAAACCTGTCATCCCACCAGAAAAGAATAATATAACAGTCAAGTTGATAAGAACAGAAGCAAAGTTGTGGAACTGATAGTGGAAGTAGTAATGGTGAACGCAGTGGTAGCGGTGGTGGTACTAAAAATAGAGGTGGTTATGATAGTCATAGTGGCTGTGATAGTGGTAATGGTGTTGGTAATGGTAGTGGTAGTCGGCTGTGAAAGTGGTAGTGGTGACAGTAATGCTGGTGGTAGCGGTAGTGGTGGTGGTGGTAATGGTGGTGCTAATGGTAATGGTAGTGGTAGTGGAAGTGGTAATAATGGTGGTAATGTAGCGTTAGTGGTAGTGGCAGTGATAGTGATAATCTCGTGGTGGTAATGATAGTGCTAGTGGTATTGGTGGTGGTAGCGATAATGATGGTGGTAATGGTAATGGTAGTGATATAGTGTTATTGGCAGTGGTAGTGGTAGTGATAATGGTGGTGGTATTGGTAGTGGTAAGTGATACTGGTAGTGGCAGTGATAGTGATAATGGTGGTGGTAGCGGTAGTGTTAGTGTTAGTGGTAGTGTTAGTGGTAGTGGCAGTGATAGTGAAAATGGTGGTGGTAATGGTAGTGGCAGTGAAAGTGATAATGGTGGTGATAATGGTAGTGGTAGTGATAATGGTGGTGGTAATGTTAATGGAAGTGGTAGCAAAACTTAGCAGTGGCTAGGTAGTAATAGCAGCAACAGCTGTTATAGTAGTTATGCCTTAGGAAAAATCAGGAGAACTCCCAGGAAAAATAAAATAAAGTAGGTGACAAGTGGCTGTAATATTGACCTTGCTGTTGAGTATTGGATAAACCGACAAATGAATATAAACAGTTTGGTAAAATTTGCTTTTAGGTTAGTCCTTACCAGTAATACGACCCAGTTTCATTCCCTTATCCTTCAAATAGCTTCCAGCATATCCCGCTGCTTGAGCTCCAAGACTGAACCCCACAATGTAGAAACGATCGATCGAACCGACTGATCCAGGGCTACTCGAAATCATGAACCTTATAAGCTCGGCTGTCTGAGCACCCACAAGCCGTGTGTTCCCGGCTGCCTGGAGGTAATTCGGTCCTTTAGCCCCTTTAGACCAGTCCACCAAAATCACATTGCAGTCTTCGCGTCGTAGCAGAGCATTTTTCATCTCTGTGGCCCAGGTGTTAATGTTTTCTGTGCAGTAATTATGAGTCAGTCACCGAAAGTCTGTGGCTAAAGCTTATATACTTAGTTAGGCGGCAAAAAATGAACTGATCCTTGCTCCATGAAGAGTGAGAAGAATATAAAAAAAAGTTAAATGGTAAAGAGCGGCATTTGTCCGATCGTTCGGTTTACTGTTCTAAAGATTTTTACAAATCTAGGTCTACACAAAATCTGTCTCTCGTTTTGACATTATTGTATAGCCTAAGAAAACAGCCAACGTTTCGCGACGACGCCGCACCGGTTTCCCCGCGAAAGACGTCTGTGAACGACTACAGAAATCCATAATAATGACTTGCAACCTCCCAAAGCTGGGTAGTGCTTGTGATTGGTTGAAGCAAATTTTTCTCGCTGCACGAACAATCAGAAGCACTGCTCAGATTCTGATTAGTTTAGAGATTTCTAGCACGAAAAATACAACCCTAACTAGCCTAAAAAAAGTAATTAGGCTGTGACCGACTTGTTTCTCAGTCTCCTGGCTCTCGCTCTTACCTGTAAATCCGTGGATCACGAAAATTGTCAGTGGTCTTGAAATAATGAAGTGAGAGGCAGTGAGCTTAGATTCATTTTCATCATCAATGAGCGTTGCTGAATTCCTATTTTCCCTTGTAAAGAGATTGAATCGTACTCCAATCTGGGATGGGCTCTGTGGTTGCTTTACCAGAGGGTTTGGATGAGGTTTAAAGCAACCATACTTTTGATAACAGACCTCCTTCGGGAAAAGCAATGCTAAAAATAACGTATAGTGAATGTTACGTTTAGACGGAAAGGGGGCGGGGCGAGAGGGGAGGGCTACTGGCATAGGTGTGCTATTTGAACACTAACTTCTTTTGTCCTCTCTCTGGGGAATTTGACCACCAATTTCGCCTCAACCTGGGGTTTTGTTATCCCCAGAAAGGGATATTTTGTCAAAATTGAACTATTATCCATTTTCGAGGATCAGAAATTTGACCAAAAAATATTTTTTTCGGTGAAGAGATTGAATTCTGCTCCAGCCTGGGATGGGCTCTGCGGATGCTTTAAATGCTTTTGAGGTTTAAAACAGCCATAGTTTGGATAACAGACTTCCTTCTTTGGTGGAAACAGCCGTGCTAAAAGACTTACGTAACCGTTTACACTTAAAAAGATGACTGAGTCTACAAATAATGACCTATCCGAATAGCTTCCAAAAGAAGACATACCAAATAAAGCTGACTGGCACCCGCGCAAATTCTTAAAAATAATAATAATAATAATAATAATAATAATGACAATAATAATAAATAATGATAGTGGTTATTAATAAACTCTGTTTATTGAGGGTAAAACTTAATATCTCTCGATAATCCACACGTGGCCCGCAGAAAAAATGAAAAAAATAAAAATAAAATAAAATAACACAACAATCAATCAAAATACAGAGATTCATAGGTTACATTCATCATTATTTTTAGTGATCACGTTGTGAAATAAGGTTGAAAATACAGGTGTTCGTAATAAAAGTAAACATAAACCTCGAAGCTCTTTGATTTGGGTTAACAGCTCAAAAGAGATCTAGAGTCACGTTTACGGAAAAGGGTCAACGTCAAATCAGTACCACGTGACCCTTTACTTGTCTTTTACTGTTAATTAATTCTCCCAATTACAAAATTAATAGTAGGCTCTCGTTAGTTTGTCCATAAGAATCGGTTTGCACTGTTTTTAGCTGCTTATCTTCTATTTTGAGAAATTCTTGATTTGAATGTGACGTTTGCCATTTGCCGTGAGCAGGCTCTATCTCTCTTTAATATTAGACCACCGTTGTTTCCTGAAAAGTTATTAATAATCTATGACAGGTGGGGGGGAGAAGGTTGGGACAAAGACAAATTAAGTAAAATTGTACCCTCACCTATTGACCCATAACAGCATAAAAAGCACTTGCCCATATTCACCTGCTTTTGAGCCTTCTTAACACCCCCCCCCCCCCCAACTCCCGCCCCACCTCGCGACTCCATTCCACTCTGGACATAACAACCCCGAGGTTATAATTAACAAACAAGGCGTCGTTATCGTATGCTTATCTCGAAAAATAACTTTTTCCTCTCAACTTCCTGTAGAATATGCGTGTAATGAAATGATGACTAGTGGAATAAGCAACTAATTCCACTTGTGTTTTGTCAAAATTCGAATAATTTCCTTCCCCTGATCAGTGAACCATATTACCTATCAGCGATTATATATATCGTGACCTTCTTATCATATTCGGAACTACACGCATAAAAAAGTTTAAACATACATTTTCAACAAAGTTCACAACTTTAAGTTCATTCGAAATCATCTTTAAACCTGGATGCCATCTTGGTATTCAGTTATTCGCGGAAGTTACCGCAGAAGTTTCGTTCGTGAAATTAGTTTAACCCTGAAATCTCTCGCCAAAATTAAGGAGTAATTTATCATCAATTATTAATCGTCGTCTCTTTTTAACACAGCTAACATTTCAAGCCGCTGAAATGGTAGTCCCTCGTTAGTTACAGACCTACCGTATACAATGGTGAATGTAAGGAGTTATATATAAGTTAAATTCCGTATGTCTGCCGCTTAAGTACCGATCGCAATGAACATTGTGGAACATCAATATAGCGCCTAATATAATGCTAAATTTAGAATCAGTTCCTCAAGTCAATTATTTTTGCATCATGACACAGCAATAAAAGTGCCCTCTCTAAGAAAGTACTTCGTTGTATCGAGGACTTCGTTATATATCAGAGGCGTTTAAAAGTGGGAGGCGTTTATTCTCACAACTGTAACAAGCACTACAAGAAAATTAACTCATATGCTTTCAGCAAAAATATCAAAAAACTTTTAAAATAGCGAAATATCCAGGTAAAGGTGTTCTAAACTCTACAATAGAATTTTAAGTTTAAAATTTGCTTTTGTTAATAGTGGCCGTGGACTTCGTTATATAGAGGTTCGTTTAATCGAGGTTCCACTGTATTTTGTTCACACCAGACTCTTTCCCCGTGAACAATGAGATGATTAAGCAATTGTATAATGTTATCCGTGCTTGTAATGGTAAAAGATGTCGTCGCTATCGTCCATCCTACTCACTCCTAAGCCTTTCGCTTGAGATTACCCTTTACAAAACAAAGCCTTACCTTCTGTAAATACAAGCAAAGTTGGCAAAATGAAAATAAATCCCTTGATGGACATTGCCGATCCTTGTCTTGAAATCAGTTTGATTATCGTTCCTCTGCAGTCTTAGTTATGCCTCAGTGCTTTGGTTCCCAAACCGATCTGTAACGGATATGAGACTAGCAATAGACGAATTCCGATATACAGTATTAAAATTCATACTTGGCTGCGAGGCTTGCGGGGAATAAAACATTTCTTTTATTTTATTTCCCCAAGCATGACGGAACCAAGTATGAATTTTAATATATCGAAAATGGTCCCTATTTACAGTGCTTCAGTTCCCAAGCGTGGACAGCCTGACTCTGAGTCAGAAACACTTAACAGTTATCAATTCCTTTTCTGGTGCTTATATAATTACACTAATCAGTTCTGTTGGAATATGTGTATTTATCACACGCTAAGTAGCTTTTTTTAGGTAGGTGTTACATGGTATGTTATAACAGTTGTTCATTGGCGGATGGTTAGTATAAATATTTGTAAAATGCCTAAATCCGCGAGCGCGCAAAATGAAGCGAATCCTACGTTCTGTTTGGCTACCCGAGCGGGCAAAGCCGCTCGGGGATTTCCCGCTTTAGTCGCGCAAGAAAAAGTCCTCTTTTTGGCCATATAATAGATTTTATATTGACCAAGCTTGTTTGGTAAAAATGACTGTATATTGGCCTCCTTATTTTCTGCATGCGTTATTTTTAACCTCCACTTTGTCTCGGTCAATAAAAACGCAGAAAGGTCGTATATGCTAGCTGCCAAGACCAATTCCACGACGATCATTTTCGTTTTCATTATCCCGATCCAAAAAAGGATTAACCCAGTGACAGCAGCACAGCAGAAAAGAGCACAAAACGCAAGATATTTCTCGTGACTATAAGTTAACTTTTCGAACTGTAATCATATCTTCGTAATTCTTTTGTCTCACTTCCATTACCTGATCTTATCTGTCTATTTCAAACTTAATCATTTCCCAAATCATTTAGGCCGAATTGCGAAGGACTTTAACCCTATTCATACCAGGCAGGCTTCCGCGAAAATAATTAATAACTTAAAGTCCTGTCTGAATAGTATGAATCAGTGGTCGGCCCTTGCTTTGGGCCTCGTCTTGCGCGTATCCCTTTTGTTACGTTTTTTCTTCTCTTTCAAAGGAATTCGCTTCCACACGAAAACGCAATAGTGAGTGAAAAAGGTAGCATCTTTGACGGGAGCATGCGCATTTACTGTTACCGTCAAAAACAGGTATGCGACGACGGGCCTTAATTATCCAAGGATCATAAACTTAGTTATCAACGGAGAATGTCGATTGAACTATTTGTTTGTTGTTCATTTTCACAACCTGAAGGAAATATTAAAGAAAAAAAAATTCCTTGAGGTTCCGTTTGCTTAAGAATACTTTTCTTTTTCATCATTTTATCACTTTTATCATAAAGTTATAATTAATTATAATAATTATAATAAAATAATTTTATATAATTATAATTTTATTTTATTATATGATTACTTTAATTCTCAATACAGCCAAACCCTGCTTTAAGGACAACCGCTTAATACGGACACCTAGTTCAATTGTTGGCTGGATCTGAATAACTAAGCGATTTTCTTCTAGTCGGTGAATGTGATGTTTTCCTGATATTGTATCACGCTGGGCCCAGCTCGTTAGTTTTGTTTGCAAAAGCATTTTCTTAGACCTCTTTTGAGGTCAAAATAAGGCTAAAAAGGCTTTTACGTTTTTAATCTTCTCCAAAAGAAAAAAGGAGAGAGACTTTCTTGATTTGACTTTAGTGGCCAACGTGGAACCTTCGATCGAGGGTGACTTTGCTGTCCGCGAATTGACACGAACGGATTTTAATTTTCTCCATGCTGGGCTGGCTTTGTCCGACGTGTCAAGAGTATGTTTGCTGCTCTTAACCGGGGTTCGTGCTGTGGATGTATTTGCAGTTTTAATGAACTGGTAAAACTGGCCCAAGTTACGAATTTTCCGGCAACATGGGTTACAGACCCGATAAGAATATTGCATGAAAAAAAAAAAAAAAAAAAACGGCAATCCAACTTCTTTACAAATTTCGGCTGACACAACCTCAAAGCAATCCTTTCGTTTTGATGGCCTGAACAGATTTTCTGAAGGAGAATGGCCTTGCTTTCCAAGATTGCTTCCAAATTTAACTTTAAACGAAATCGTACATAACCTACAATAATCACTGAGACTCGAATCAGACGACAATACTCACCCTGATACTCTTCTTCCCATAAACAACTAGCAGCTTGCATAAAGTACACTACAGATGTGTTTATTTTTATTTTATCAGAAGTGAAGGGAGCTTCCGGTGCAATAGTACTTCGGTGTTGATTGGTCGGCTACTCATTTCCGGAACAGCGGTCAAGCGCGACTAAGTCGGGGGTGTTTCTCATTTTCACAGTGTTTTTGGGCAGGCGTTTTCTCTTCTCTCTCCCCGCCCCCTACCCCGCTCCTTTTGGCTCGCACTATTTTCTCCCCTCTTTTCGAGTTTCGTCATGCGCTTTCGCGAGCAAAACGTTCGCGCGCCGGAAGAAAACACCTGCGCCCACTACCTGTATAAGTGCAACTTCTTTAAAAAT